TTCTCTCAGTAAATGGCAGCTGGGTGCTCAGAAGCCTGGAATTATCCTCGCCTGTTCTTTTTCTCATCCCACTTCCAGTCCATTAGCCAGTCCTGTAAGTTCTATTTTAAAGTATATCCAGAATTTGATCACTCTTTACTACCTCCATCACTATCTCCCTAGTCCAAACCACTATAGTCTCTTTTCCCTATTAATGTAATATCTTCACAGCCTGCTTCTGTCTGTACTTCTTAAGACCATTTTGTTTCTTCTGCTCAGTACCTTCCCATTGGCTTCTTGGTCCAAAAGACTTTATGGGACCTGCCTTCTTGCCACCTCCCTGACCTTTATCAGTCAGAATTCTAACAGGAAACAGTAGCACACTCTAGGTAGGATAATTTAAGAATTTATTTTCAAATAAAATTGTTTACAAAGGTTTGGGTGTCGGGGTATTACAAAAGATAGCACAGTAATATGGGCTGGTAACAGCAGAGTAGCAGTAGAAGGCTTGAGGGGAGGAGGGCATGGTTACTGAATTTGGAAAGGAATAGAGAAGGCCACCTTGAAAGGAGCAGTGACTTTGAGATGAGGGATATAACCAGCCTGATGTGAATGACTTGACTTTCTTCCCTCTCTCCCTTTGATCTCCTGCTGCGGTTTCCCATAGGCATATATTAGTTTCCTATTACACCACAACTTATTTTTTTTAATAATTCTAGAGGCCAGAAGTCTGAAATGGGTTTTGTGGACCAAAATCAAGATAGCAGCAGACCTGTATTCCCTCTGGAGGCACTAGGGGAACATCTATTTCCTTGCCTTTTCCTGCTTCTAGAACTAAATTCCTTGGCTAATGGCTCCTTCTTTCATCTTCAGAGCCAGCAACATAGCATCTTGTTTCGTTGTTACGTTGCTTTCTGTTCTTGCTGCCAAATCTGCCTCCCTTGTCTAAGATTTGTGATTGCATGTGGGGCCCCCCGAGTAATCCAGAATAATCCGTCTCAAGGTCCTTAATTTCATCACATCTGCAAAGTCACTTTGCCATATAAGGTACCATTCACAGGTTCCAGGGGATAGGACTTGGATACTTTTGGGGCCATTATTTAGCCTATCACAGGCTGGCAAACCCAGCCAGAGGGGGTACAGGAGCTTGTTGATGTGGTTCATTTAGGCCAGATTTAGAGCAGCAAATGGAAAGTGGCCAGCACTACTGCCCTTTCTCCTACTTATCTCCCATTCTCAGTCTGTTACTGCCACACTGACTTGTTCTTTCAACTAAACACACGCCTGCTTCAGAAAGGCCTTTGCATTTTTGTCTATTGTCCCCACTAGAATGGAAGTTCCATGAAACTGGGAATTTTTCTGCTTTGCCATCTTTTCTTCAGTGCCTAGCGCAATGACTAGCCCATAGTAAAAATATTTACTGGCTCAGTAAATATTAATAAGTGAATAAAGCCTCTTATATTGTCTCTCCCCCTGAAAGAAAGAGATTTGTCTTTCTGTCAGGACTGCAATTTGTTTTGTTGTAATCTTCCCCAACTCTTTTTGTCGGAGTCTAGATTCTGGCCTTTGTCTCTTTTAGCTGTTCAGGGCAACAATGAAGTGTCCATGTGGGACATGGAGACTGGTGACAGAAGATTTACTCTCTGGGCCAGCAGTGCACCACCACTTTCTGAATTACAGGTTTGACTTCAGTTTTTACAGTTTTTACTGTAAAGGATGATATTATTCCCTACATCCTAAGTACTTTCAGGCATTTAATCAAACCTAGTATCTGTTGGGCTTTTGGGTTATGTTTAAATTTGGGTTTTTAATAACATCAAGTATCATGTGGCCATTGCTACATGAGTGTTTCCTTGCTAGTGTTCTGCATTAGTGGGTAAATAAGTTGCTAGCCCATAAAGCTTGTGATGTCTCTTTGGAACCCCAGTGAGATCTAGCTTAATTAGGAAAAGCCCAGATTGAGGTAGATAGGGCATACATAACTGGTCTCTCATTTCTTCAGGTAACCAGGTGCTTGTAAAGCTACTGACAGTTAACTTGCCTCTAGAAATAGCACCATCATTTATGGAATACACGGATGTCTTTTATTTGACTCCACATTTATTTCTTTTAAGCCTTCTCCTCATAGCGTCCATGGTATCTACTGTAGTCCTGCAGATGGAAATCCTATCCTGCTAACAGCTGGCTCAGATATGAAAATAAGGTACACGATCTCAACAAATACTTAAAGAATAAAATGGATACTTTTACAAGATGTTATTACAGATACTGATGGCACTGTAATGTTTAAAATTATCTTATAAGGACAACTGTTAATACTTTATTTGTAACCAATGGTATGCTGTTCTATAAAAACCTCTTTTTCTAATGCAAAAGAAAAACAATGCATTGATGAAGATAAGCCAATGATTATTAGTTCCTCTCATTGTCCTATAAAGATTGTCATTTATTTCCTCTTCCCTAGGTTTTGGGACTTGGCCTACCCAGAAAGGTCCTATGTTGTTGCAGGAAGTACTAGTTCCCCATCTGTGTCCTACTACAGGAAAATAATTGAAGGCACTGAAGTTGTCCAGGTACTGTAGTCTTTTCATTCAACTTTTGTAAGCACAAACATGGCTTTTGTAAACAGAATTAAAATAAATGACGTGACCAAGCGAGGAGTACTTTGAATTTAGGAAATTTATTTTTTCTTGAATTAAAAAAAATTAACTTTTATTAAGGTAAAATAAGCATAAAGAAAGTGCATATAAGTAATAGCTCAAATGACCAGTATGTACTTTATAACATCGTAAGGAAGCACTTTTATTATCGTCTTACAAATGAAAAAGGCACAGTGAGGTTAAGTAACTTGTTCAAGGTCACACAGCTAGTAAACAGAAAGCTGGGATTCAAACCTGGCTTTGGGACTGTAAAGTTTGTATTCTTGACTCAGGCAGAAACTTCAAGTGAGAGAATATACCCTTAGTACCTGGGCCAAAGTAGGTGTTCCATAAATAAAAGTGTGCTTCCTTCATGACAAATATTAATGAGCTTTAGAAGTGCTAGAACATGTCTGCTGATTTTTTATATTCTGGTTTCATGCTATACTTTTTTTTTTATTTTTTATTTTTTGAGAGGAGTCTCGCTTCTGTCGCCAGGCTGGGAGTGCAGTGGCCGTCTCGGTCACTGCAACCTCTGCCCTCCCGGGTTCAAGCGTCTCCATGGCTCAGCCTCCTAAGGAGCTGGGCACTACAGGTGTGGGGTGCCACACACGTGGCTAAGTGTTTTGTATTTTTAGTAGAGACGGGGTTTCATCATGTTGGCCAGGATGGTCTCGATCTCCTGACCTTGTGACTTGGGAGACCTTGGCCTCCCAAAGTGCTGGGATTATAGGTGTGATCCAACGTGCCTGGCTATACCTCTTTTGATTATATTCTATCCCTTTTTTCTTTTGATGTTGGCAAAAGTTAATATGCACAGAATATTGACCTAAAATAAGTTTTCCATATCTGTAAGTGGCTACTCATGAAATCCAATGACTAGGACCCTGGAATGTCATTTTTGGCTCTTCTACTCCTTTTGCTCAGTGTATTTGTGAAAGCATGACTACTTTACAAAAGGTGTTAACTTAAATACAACAGTATCTCAGAAGCAAAGACTATTGACGAGAGGAAGAATATGGTACAGACTTTTAACTTCTGGCTTGTTCCCTGACAGGAAATTCAGAATAAGCAGAAGGTAGGACCAAGTGATGACACCCCTCGAAGGGGCCCAGAGTCCCTGCCCGTGGGACATCACGACATCATCACTGATGTCGCCACATTCCAGACAACACAGGGCTTCATTGTAACTGCTTCTAGAGATGGGATTGTGAAGGTGTGGAAATAAAAACCTACTGATTTGTATAAATTGTAATAAAGTTATAAATATACTACTATAACTCAAAAGGCATTTCTAGAGAACAGATTCATTTGCTTAATTTTCAAAATTATGTCTCTATATTACTGTTTCATGACTGACTAAATGATACCCAAAATGGTTAAGATGTACTTAACTAGTTTACTTATGCATCTCTTTGCAAGAATCAGCCAGCCAACAATGTCTGGGATTTTTATTGTATATGTTATAGAGGTGAGAAATATAAAATATGAAAATGAATGTTTATTTTGTATTGAAAAAGATGGTTGAAAAGATGGTTGTAAGCTATTATAAGTATAAACACATTTTTGCTATTAAAAATGCTATTCAAAGCAGTTAAACTGTATTCGTGCATCCTAAGTGTGTTTTTGGTGGTGTTTTTAAATGGTAAATTTAAGCAGAGGAATAATCTCTCCAGCAGCATTTGTTCTAAGGTGAAGAAATGGACTCGATGTCACAAGGAATCAGTGACAGAACCAGGCGTTAGGTCCAAATCTCTGGACTCTAAATATTGTGCTCTTTCTGCTCTAATATTTCTTGTGTGTTTTACAGTCTGCCTTATTAGTTATTTAACATTATAGAATTGATTTCCTGCATATTAGTTATACAAGTATGCCTCCTCTTGGCCATCATTATTTTTTATGGGCTGTACCATAAATTCTGACACTTGGCCCAACATGTTGCTTTTATCCAGTATAGACTATTGAATGCATGAAAAAGAAAAATAAAGTTAAAAGTACACCAAAAATATACATTTTTAAAAGGCCAAAATTGGTCTTTTCCACTAAGATAAAACCCTTCAAGGTTATGGATTACTATTTGCATACAGACTGTCTCCATATTTAATTCTCATCCACTTGTAGAAGGGTTTATGGTATTCAGAATATTTTAGTTTAAAATTAGTTACATGAGTCTATAAAAATCTCAGCCAAGAGAAAAGCCTGCTTGCTTAGAAATACGCTAAGAATTTTCTGTATTTTTATAATTATATAATTAAGTTACAGTACATGTAGTTTACAAAGCATATATCTAGTTTCATGATTCAATACAATCATCCCTAGGTATCTCTGGGGCATTGGTTCCAGGACCTCCCAAGGATAACAAAAGCCACAGATGCTCTAGTCTCTTACATAAAATGATGTTGTATTTGCAGATAATCTACACACATCTTCTCATATACTTTAAATTATTTCTACATCACTTGTGATATAATACACTATAAATGCTATATAAATAGTTGTTATACTGTATTGTTTAGAGAATGAAAAGAAAAACGTCTGTACATGTTCAGTACAGACACAAACATCTTTTTCTGAATACTTTTTATCCATGGTTGAACTCATGGATGTGGAGCACCCACAGATACAGAGCCAGCTGCACTTAGTTTTTAGACAGGTAAACAACAAAACTGTCAGAAAATGCCAGTCATTCAGAAACGTCAAAGTTAGGAATGATGGACTAACTAGGCCTAGATAGCTTCAAATTTGGCATTGTCATGTTGCCTTGCCTTTGTTTCCCCTTAATGTCTGCCAAAACCATACTTACAGGGTTTCTAGCCACTAAGTCAGATTTAGAGTCTGCAGGGGGTTGGGGAAAATTTTTTTTTGATACAGAAACTGTAATGCTGAGATTGGACTTCAGCCTGGAGCCATTAGATAAGCTGTAAGACTGATAAATGTGGGAAATGCTAAGAAAAAAAAATGGAGTGGGCTGACAGAGATATGATCCTTTTCTCCCCTTATCTCCTGCTAAAACCCATTCTTCTCTGTCCCCTTGCCCCACAGAAAAGCCCCAGTTTTGGAAAAAAGTTATTTGGTTGAATTCTAAGTATTACAATCTGATGCCATGTTAAGTTGCATCTCCTTTTGACCTCTACTCAAAAAAAAATAAGTTTGAGTCATAGCTCAGTGCAGAGATAATGGGAGGCAGTTCCTTTACAGTCGATTAATTCACATTTTTAAACCAAGAAGCATCCTGCTTGTGTGATTCTTGGGTTAAATATAGCTTTATTACATTTATATTCAACTTAATTTTTGCTGTTTCTACTTTTAGGAGAAAGAGGTAAATCAGGGAAAATACTAATATTAGGCATTTTTAAAAAGGAACTTCTATTTGCAGCATGCTTCAGAGCTCTCACCTATTAGTGATTCAAAAGATGGCCCAAAATGCTAAAAATAATCTGTCACCAAGGGAATATTTGTTTGGTGTTCTTTACTTGCCAATGCAGAAAAACAGACAAATACATCTTAATGGTATTTCCAACAATTAACAAAAGAAAAGTTTGTGCTTAACTCAGAGTTAACTAGAAAAATCCCTTTTATTAAAATACATTGTAAATATTGCTCATTAATATCCTGTACTTGAGACATTTTTCCTGAACCTCTAAGCACCACTTAGGATAGATGAAGCAAACCTGATGTGTTTTATTCTTCTCTGCTACCCGAGTATGAATGTGACATTTAACTCCTTGAACTTCTGTCTCCTCTGAAGACATTAGGTGCTATCTCTGGATTTACCTAAGTAAGAATGGCAGAAGTGGTTTTTAAAAAATGCTGCAGAATAGTTTGTCTTTCCAAGTTTTATGAAAATAGGTATAGGAAAGAAAATCTGAATGTCCTTGGTGTCAGTATCCATCCACTCCATGCATCCAAGCAGGGCTTCTTGCCATTCCCAGAGAGGGGGACAGTCTGCCTAACAGGGCCATTGCTACCAACTGTGGAGCCAGCTCTTAGACTGAGGTAAGGTCTGAACACTGTGTTTAAATTAAATAATGCTATAATACTTCGGGTGTTTAGTTGTTGAAAATATCAGCCCTATCATAAAAATAAAAATTAAATACAGATGAGGACACAGCTATCAGAGCATGCTACTAGAGACTAAGTACTTCTAAAACCTTTCATACTTTTACTCTGATCTCTTTTGCATCTCTGCAACTGCATATGAATTTGTAGATTAAAACAATTATTTTCTTACATTTTTCTAAACTCAGCGTGTATTTAAGGCTGTTTTTAAGAGCTCTGCCAATCCTGTTTTGGTGCTGTTTATTATTGACTAAACAGCTACCTGATGGGTAAAAGTAACTCAGAGCTTCATCTATGACAAGTTGTGTCTTGACTCTCCTTGTCTAAAGCATATATGAATTAGTGAAAATTAATAAATGACCATAACAGGAAAGACAGACTAGAATTCCATCAAAATGGCTTCAAGCTCCATCAAAATGGCAGTAAGCTTCCTAATGAAGAGAAAACTTCCAGCTCAAAAGCAATAATTTATATTCTGTGGGAATTAATGAGTTTTTCAGTGAGTTTAGGAGGATTTAGAGATGGAGAAAATTACCCTCTTCTTATCAGTCCAAGCAAACAACTCCCACAGTGGTGTGTTTAAATGGAATAGAAGGTCAAATTTTAAAAATATGACATATAAACAGCATCCATTTCTAGGGTAAATTTTGGAGTAGCTTAAAACATTTAAAAATAACTTTGATTAAATAGATGAGCATTAGACATTACTAAATTAGGAAAGGAGGATGGGTTTGCAGGAAATGAACTGGACAGAGATAAAAGAATTAACATTGACTCGTGTACACATATGCATACATCATATAAATTTTACCTTCAATTTATATCTCCATTAGACTTTTCAAAACACTTCTTTCATTCTTCTGTCTTCTAATGAAACAGTTCTTGAACGTATCAGTTGTAGAGTGCTGGAATTGTCAGGAGTGGTCAAATAAATGAACAAGATCTATCTTAATACCAATGAATGCAGGGGGTCAAGTCACCTGATAACCTACAAACTGTTGCTTGAGTTCTGGCAGCAGATTTAGTTACTATTTAAGTCCAGAGTCTTACTATGCTTCCTAAGGCTAAGTTGTTCAAGCATTTTTTTTTTTTTTTTACCACGTCATTTGGGAGCACTTTTTGTCACCCTTCTTCCATTCTTAAAGGTATGGGAGGTGTTTCTGATAAAATTTTGAATAGCATCATCTCTGCCACTTCTTGCTACTCTTGAAAGATATTTTTTATCTTGAAAGAATTTTGCCTTCTGTAATATATCTTCTTTGAGGGTAGCTTTATATGGTCCAGGAACAAAGCTATACAACAAAAGAGAACATCATAGAAGATAAATGCCATTTCAACTTTAATAGACTACATATTAATCTGTCTTACTAAATTAATTGTTTCACCCATTTCCTTGTTGCAGCCTTCCTCCAGGGTAATTTTAAAATTATTAAACTGGGTACTTACATTGGCTCATATATCAGAAGCTGACAAATGATACATCTTATCAAAGTATGCAAAAGTATTATTTCAGCAGCAAAGTTTCTTCATGAAATATGTACCACTCAGATCTACCAAGGATGGTCCTTCAGATTATTTAGATTTGGGTTCATAATGGTACCTCATCACAGACCACCATATCTATAGTTTTCCCAGATCCACTCCTACTTCCAGTGCCTCAGCACATCATGCTATTTTCTTTATAACACTTGGCACTATCTGAACTTTTATTTACCTGTAAACTTCTTTATAATCTGTTCCCCACTTTTCCACCCAACCAGACAGAAGGTTCATGAGATCTTGTCTGTTCACTATAGTAATCCCAGGAACCTAAAAGTGCTTAACACATAGCAGTCACTCAATAAGGATTTGTCTAATGAAAGCATGAATGTATGTCACTCCCTTCTTTCATCTCTTCCTTTCTTCCATAGGTCCATCTATCCATCCATATGTTTACTATCTGCTTAATGGAAGGCATGGTGTCAGGTACAATGGGGGACATAGAAATAGAGCCCAGTCTGGCAGGCACATCAAGAGCCTGGCTAGGAGTCATGAGTAACCCAACAGTAAAGAGGAGCTGGAGTCAGACCCTGGTAGGACTCGCAGGACAGGTTGAGAAATCCGGGAATCATAGAAGCCAAGTGCTAACTAGAACTTAGAGCTTGTCTGAAAAAACCTGTGCTGACAGAAGTGTCTGAGAATCTGTACTGCCTATATGGCAGCCATGAGCCACATGTGGCTTTTGAGCACTTGAAATGTAGTTAGTGTGACTGAGAAACTGAGATTTAATTTTAATTAAATAACCACATATAGCTGGTGGCTACTGTATCAGCCAGTACAAAAAGGGAGCCTTTTCAGACAATCCTATATACAGGGATGTTGTGGAAAGAGCTTTGGGTTCAGACACATTCTTACATTCTTATATTCCAGCCCCTAGCCGAACAGCTCTGGGCAAATCATTTAACTAGAGTGACTCTTGTTTCTTCAGGTGTAAAATGGGAATGAAAAATGATTTCTGTTGTGAGTAACAACTGAAGTCCCCTAGACTAGTTACCATGGTGCTCTGTTGGTTACAGATGAGGAAACTGAAGTGCATTGAGGTGAAGGTCAATGGCAGAGCCGGAACTATAACCCAACTGTTCCGAGACCGAGTTCAATGTTACTGCCATTGAACTGGGTTTTTATTCAGGACACTATGGAGAACTATCAACATATTTGGAGTAAGAAAGTGAGATAAATTTCATACTACCAGAAACACCTGGAAATGGGTGTAGACTATAGGAACACAGATGGCTTGGGGCAGGCCGGACGGCTAAGGTATGAGAGCCTGGTGCAGCAGGCTCTTCATAAATATTTGTAGGATGAATGCGTGAAAGCTGGTGGTATGAAGAGAGAGAGAGGCTTCTTAATACTGATAAACTTCAGCAATTAGCTGAATTACAGTCAAGGGAGGTGATATGATTTGGATGTCCCCTCCAAATCTCATGTTGAAATGTGACTTCCAGTGTTAGAGGTGGGCCTAGTAGGAGGTGTTTGAGTCATGGGGGTGGATCCCTCATGAATAACTTGGTGCTGTTTTTGTGGTAATGAGTGAATTCTTGCTCTTAGTTCATGTGAGAGCTGGTTGTTTAAAAAGAGCCTGGAACCTTCTCTCTCTTCCTCCCTCTCTTGCCATGTGATGTGCCTGCTCTCCCTTCATCTTCCACCATGAGTAAAAGCTTCCTGAGGCCTCACTAGAAGCTGAGCAGATGCTGGTGCCATGTTTGTATGGTCTGCAGAAACGTGAGCCAAATAAACGTCTTTTCTTTATAAATCACCCCGTCTCAGCTATTCCTTTATAGCAATGCAAAGACTAATACAGGAGGACTGAAGAGAACTTCAAAACATTGAAACCAAAACAGTGGTAATATTCATTGTGATCCCTTTCTTATTTTTCTATTTTTACCAGCTATAAAATCTGACCTCTCAAAAAAATCAGTATTTAGAAAATGAGTATAGTGAAAGATATAGAACAAATTTAAAATTAAAGTTATTTCACTTCTCACACACATAGAAACACACACTTTTTCTTCCACCTATAAACAGAGTTAAGCAGAAAGGAAACATTCAAACAACAACAAAAAAAACCATGCCAATTCATGTTACATAGACTCCAAAGCCTCCATGCATTGTATACTACATATCTAGGCTTCTGAAACTCAAATTCCAACATATATCTCAGTTCACTTCCATCAGTGTTATCAGAGATGTAATAAGTTGATCAACAAACATCTACCAAGAACAGCAGCCATGGCTCAATTTCACTGCAAATGCAAATTTCTCACATCTCCCTTCATGTTGCTCTTCCCAGTATGTGTGTGTGTATGTGTGTGTATATATATATTATATATAATATACAAATATAATGTATAATATACATAATATACAAATATATTATTAACATCTACCAAGAATAGCAACCATGGCTAAATTTCACTGCAAATACAAATTTCTCACATCTCCCTTCATTTTGCTCTTCCCAGTATGTGTGTGTGTATGTATATATATAAAAAATATATATTATATAACATACAAATATAATGTATAATATACAAATATATTATTAACATCTACCAAGAACAGCAGCCATGGCTAAATTTCACTGCAAATACAATTTTCTCACATCTCTCTTCATTTTTGCTCTTCCCAGTGTGTGTGTGTATATATATACATATTATATATAACATACAAATATAATGTTATATATATTTATTTGATACGAGGTCTCACTCTGTCATCCAGGCTGGAGTGCAGTGTTGCCATCACATAGCTCACTGCAGTCCAGATCTCCTAGGCTCAAGTGATCTTCCTGCCTCAGCTTCCCGAATGGCTGGGACTACAGGTGCGTGCCTCCACACCTGGCCAATTGTTTTATTTTTGGAGAGCTGAGGTCTCACTATGTTGCCCAGGCTGGTCTTGAACTCCTGGGGTCAAGCAGTCTTGTTGCCTTGGCCTCCCAAAGTGCTGGGATTACAGGAGTGAGCCACCCATGCGCTATCCCAGCATTTCCTTATTATCTTCCAGACTGAACGTTATAAACTCATTCCCCAAAGTGACGATTGTATGCATAGAACATGGCTCCACTGATCATGGGAAGGGCATTTTTTTGAGTCTGAAGCACATTGTTTTCATGGTCTTATCTTTACTGGACTCTTCCCTAGCCCCTTCACGCTGCCCCCCCCCCCCACAACCCCTGCCCCCCCCCGCTCCCTTTTCCATTAGGTCCTTTGTTTTCTTTTATGGCAGGTCTAGTTATGTTATCTCCCTCCCCATCTTTAAGAAAAAATTGTTAAATTAGTAAGTGCTTGTATAGCATGATATTGCTATCTTTTTTCCCCTCTCAAATATTTTTATTCTCAAAAGGTTGAACATTAATACCATATCTTTGAATTTCCATTTTTCACTGTGTTATATGTAGGAGTTAGTACTCGTTTTTCTTTTTTCTTTTTTTTTTTTTTTTTTTGGAGATGGAGTCTCTCTCTGTCACCCAGGCTGGAGTGCAGTGGCGTGACCTCGGCTCACTGCAACCTCCTGCCTCGGTGTTCAAGTGATTCTCCTGCCCTTTAGCCTCCATGAGTAGCTGGATTACAGGTGCCTGGCCACCCGATGCCTAATTTATTTATTGTTTTATTTATTTTTAATTTTAATTTTTTTGGGGAGACAGTTCCTCAGCTCTGTGGCCAGGCTGGAAGTGCGTGGTGGCAATCCTGGCTTCACCGCAACCCTCAGGCGTCCCAATTCAGCGTAATTCTTCATGTCTAAGCTCCCGAGTAGCTGGACGTCAACAGGTGGCGCCAGTCACACCCAGCTATATTTTGTAGTTTTAGTAGGGACGGTTTTCCACCATGATTGGCCAGGATAACTCGATCTCTTTGACCTCCTGATTCTGCCAACTCCAGCCTCGCCCAAAGTGCTGGGATCTACAGGTGTCGAGCCACACACCCCACGCAATAATCATTTAATACAAAATCATTTGGGGCCGAACAATTGGTCTAGACCGCCTGAATTCCAAGCACTTTGGGAGGCTGAGGCAGGCAGTCACGTAGGTCAAGGAGATCAAGACCATCCCTGGCTAATAGGTTGTGGTGAAAGAAGAGATCAGCCTGATTACTGTGTCTAATATAGCGAACAGGTAGCATAGAGACTCATTTTGTTTGATTTGAGAATGCAGATTAATCTGTGACCTACCCCCAACCTTGTTCTTGCAAGATGACATGTGCTGTGGTACTCAAGTTAATGCGTTTTGCGTGGCAGTGTGTCGTCTTTGTCTTAGAAAAGCATAGGGTATTGTCACAGGTTCTTCCCTCAGTGATAGGATGAAACATGTTGCTAAAGGTTTATCTCAAGGCACAGATTTTCTTAAACTTCATTCTGTCACATGAGATCCTGTGTTCTATCGTCTTACTGCAACTTTCTCTAAAAACAGATCCTATTGTCCTGCCATCTCCCTGTATCTTTAACAGATGTAAATGAGTAATTATCTATAAATACTAAGGGAACTCGAGGCCGGCTGCCCCGGCGTGGGTCGCTCTGTAACTGAGCGCCTGGTCCCGTGGCCCTCTTGCTTTTCTTTCTCCGTAATACCTTCCTGTCTCTGTGTCTTATTTCTTTTCTCAAGTCTCTCGTCTTCCACCATGAGGGCTGACAACGAAAACAGCCCACAGGGGTGTGGAGGGGCCGCACGGGCCACCCTTCATGGTGAAACTCCCATCTCTACTAAAAATAGAAACAAATTAGCCGGGTGGTGTGTACGTGCCCTGTAGGTCCCAGCTAT